CCCTTCAATATGCCTGCCATGCGCATCACATGTATAGGCAAGCAAGTGCGAGTATTTCGTTTTGCCTCAATTCACCCTGAAGTGGCCAAGTGGCGTACTCACACCATTGATAACGCAGCTTACCTTGTCTGCTTCTATTCAAAAAACCGGGGCAAATTCCTGCGCATCCATCCATTTTCCTTCCGTTTACACACTATACTACTGTAATTGAGCTCGGAATGATTGCCACTCACAGCAGCTAGTGCTCCGAAGTTCGCCTTGGTCACAAGCAACTTGAGAGAAGTGACTGCTAACGTTTTGGACTGCTTCCTGTATACGGGCGACCTGAGACTCGCATGTACTTGCGCAACATCTATGTGAAGTTACCTACTTTGAGCTAAAGACGTTCCTACCGGATTTAACAAGCAACCCTTTATGGTATTTGTTACGCGGTTCATGGATCTTCGTGCCTGTGTTTAGCTCGATCCCGTCTAAAAAGGGATCAAGGCTAGGAATGCCAGCGGAACAAGATTCATTGAAGGTGACATGAAAATGGCTGGACTGATGGATGCGCCGGAAGTTGCTCCGTGTCATTGAGTGCAGTGCTTTCAGGCAGGCAACACATAATTTAGAGCTGCTTCATCAGCTACGGTCCTAGTGACCGAATTTTCAAAATTCACTTCAATGGGAATCGCGGTCCACTTTGAGATTGCGCAATGCAATCCATCCACATAACGTGTGTTTCAAAATGACCAACCATACTGTCAGTATCCGCTGTGCTTCGCATTGCCCCGTCATGACCCGGTGGCTTAAGGTTATCGGCCACAACTAACATCCCAATGGTCCCGGGTTCGATGCTTGCTATCTCTATCTGATGAGAGCCCCGAAACGCGTCACGGAGTGCAATGCTTTTAGGAGGGCAACATCCAATTTTCTTCTGCTTTTGCTTTCAAAACCTAGTCCTAGTTCAGAATAAGAATAGTGAGAAAAATGGCGCAGAGCGGGTATCGTGATGACCCAAAACATCTCATGCCTGACCACTGGAATATTAGGTTGAGAAAGTTTTATGATGGTATCTAAGCAAAGAAATAGTAGGTTGGTTAATGCGCAGAAATCTGAACAAGAAAGTGAAGTATGTCAGTACTATGTACACAGACTCGGGGGTCGATGAGAAGAGGCTCACGGCAAAGCCCAATGGGACCACAAATGAAGTCCACTGCAAATTAACTTCACTGAGCTAAATGCCTAATCACTAGACTCAGCACTGACACTCGCCAGTCATCAAGGATAACGCAACAACAACACATCTACACAGCATAAAGTATAAGCGATGACATAATACAGCGATAGACTTGAAGTCCTTGCATAATGTGCATCTACTTCGACTACAATGTCTAAGCTGGGACATTACACAAGCCGAAACATACGGGGCCATAAGCAACAAATTAACCAAAGCAAATAAATGAAGCACTTTACAAGCATTTGTGAGCTATTTTGCTTAATTGAAACTGTACTGAATTTACAGTGCCCAAATGGACTGTGTGCATTTTGCAGACCACATCGACTGGAAGAGTTAGACACCACCTCCGAGTAGAACGTACCAACGCTGGTACGCAAGGTTAAGGTTCAAGTACATCGCGTACAAGACACTACCGGGGAAACCACGCCGAGAGGCTGGGAAGTATCGCAGTGGCTGCTATGACGGTCAGCATGAAAGCAAGGCAAATATAAGGAGTGTAGGGCAGTTGTATGTATCTGCAGTATGCAGCTGCTCGTCAACCTTACTGGACGGGAGCTGAGTCTAATGCACCCGTTCGAAATGTGAGTTGCCAGAATACATCGCGATTCGCTGGCGAATTTCTATTTGAACCCAACGCTTGCAGCAAAGTTGCTTTCCATTTAGTTCACGTACATCCCGTTACCAGGCCTCCTCCATCAACTCCTTGAGCTTGATTGTGGGCAGATTTCAATTAGCTTTGTCGCTAACTCCCTGACAAGGTCGGTACGTTTCACCCAGCGCGTCATTTACTCCGATTGTACAGATCAGTCCACTCTAGCCTAGAAAATGGCTACTTCTCATTGGTTGACTTGAACGGCTTGTCACTGCAATGCTCATCACCCTCACATTATGAATGGGATAATTGACATTTCAGTGTGATCCACTAGTGAGTTTGATGAGTGTTAGGTGTAGCCGCTCGCAACACCACCCTTCCCGAAGGTCTGATACCCATGTGCAGTTGTCAGTTACAGATCACTAAGCCTAGAACACAGGAGCTTGGGGTGTCAATCGAAGCAGAAACTACCCCAAAATTACCAAGTCGCAGAGGACAACGCTTGTCAAAAACGATTAATGGCCACACTCGTAATGACCACCGATAGGTGGTTTCTGAGGTTTGATTCAATTTGCGGCTTTTTCTAGTACCTACTGTGTGAATGGATTGATACCCACGATCTCAATCTACACTGTGGTCCATTATGAAGTGAATTACAGTCCTTTCGGTCAATTGAGTCGTTTCTCGCTCCGGACGCCGGATCCCACGTTCACATTTTGACTTGATTACAAAAGCCAGTTGGAGACGGCCAAAGGGTCAGCCAAACAACCTGCGTATAGTTTGCTGGTAATCGTCATTACTCGGGTATCGCTCGTCAAAATGATCAATGATTCAGCACCACGTCAGGTGACTCTCAATTGCACCACTCGTTCTGCTATCTCACCTCGAAAAGTGCAAACAGGCTTGAAAGTGGCTTTGGAATGGCGTAATGCTACTGGGTAGCAGATCGCATTTGTTTGATTCCACCTAACTGCATATGCATGTACAAGCTCTGTTACTGTCCAGACACAGTTGATTCTAGTTGAGAGTGATGGGCCGGTCAAGCACAACCCACCTCACTTTGGCAAATGCTTAAGTAAATAAAATCCTTGCAAAGAAGACAATAAAGACTGCAAAAGGCCAGGATAGCGTAGGAACATGAATGTGATCGGGTGTCAAAATGGTGTCGATCAAATGGTTTTTGTGCATCGACTAATTGTGACACATCCTTGTTAAATTATATCAGAAAATGGGCCGAGGTATGAGAACAGTTTGAGGTCACTAATACTCAACCTAAAGTTTCACTCTATCAGTGTACAGAGGTTATTCGGTCAGAGTAACCACATCAACCAGCGTAAGTCATGGAGACTACTAGGGCCTTGTTTCTTCATCTGCAACTAAGAAAACACACAAATGCATGTCGCAGTCCAACCACATGGCGGGTAATCCAAATCCAAGTTTGAATTCCTTACCGCTGTGCCAAGCGTTGCTCACGAATCTCATTGGCACTCTAAGCAAGGCTTCAACCGTTAGGCACTAGGCCTCCAGTTCCACCACAGCCCAATCTATCCCGTCGGCTGAGTTCAAGAGAACGAAACATTCGGTCATTGGGTGTCACTGTTGGGAGGAGCAACACCTCCACACAATGCATCCTTACAGAAAAACAGTTCACTTGTACAAGCACTATGCACTTGAGGTGTTTGTACGTGCAGAAGTTACCAGACGACTCATTCACCGGATTTTATCATCAAATACAAACTCCTGGCTGAATAAGCAGTAGAAATGAGTTAAGCACCAGTTTCAACTTGCTGAGTGCTAGTTTGAACAGTTCTCTTTATCGTACGATTACCAAAACAGTAGCGCACTTTCCACGACCTCTCTACTTTTTGGTAGGAACCAGCTGTGTCCGGCGATGCTTGCTGCAGTGGTCTTTTCTTGTTCTCCAAAGAAATGAGTTCCAGTTTGTTACAACTGGTCGTACGGACACCACTTGACAGCGACCAGGAAATATACGCAATGGCAGCATGTAGAGGGGAAAATCAAATTGGAGCTAGAAAGAAAGTTACCCGTTATCATTCCATGTGAATGAACACTGCCATGGAATGTTCTGATATCATCCAAGGCAATTCTCAGAGATACTCTTTCTACATCAAAGCCATTTATAGCCAGAACAAGACCAAAAGTACTCTCTATAATATGTGCTGATCCAATTTTGCTGGTTCCCTTGCGAATTTAGCGAGGACAGTTCCCAATATCAACTTAACGACATCTCTTTCGCTGCACCTTTGGTGGTATCAATGTTAGTACACCTGATACGGCACAGACAAAGTTCAAAAATATATTTCTTGGAATATATTACTGATAGTGTTAAAAGGCCTTCTCAGCTTGTGTTGTACAACTTCTCGATCGCAACGCCTATGGACTGATGCCTATCCTCTGGAGTGATTGGAAGTCAGACGTTTCTCTACCCATACCGGTCTCTTGACACAGTTGCTTCTAAGTGAGCTAACTGTTTCAATGGCATATAGATTTCGCTTATGAACTACTTGTCTCTGGGAAATTGGTAACCTCGTCGTTCCACTAGGAATAGTGACCATTCTCGAAGAAGCTGGACCGATTTAGTCTCTCCAGTAGCGGGATGCGTTGATTGTATATGCCGTCTTTCACATATATTTTATTTATTCACATGAAGGGATATGTTGCACAGAGGAAGTTTAAATGCAGTATGGTACTATCGGTGCTGTTTGGCAAGCAGAAATTACTTGGTGAATGGGTTATATCGTCTTTTGTATGACGTTCTTATATTATTAGCTCTGGCCTTTACTGTCGTCTTCCAAGTTGTTTGGTATGATAGTACCACCTCCCGCGGAGGGCTGTTAGGCACATGACTATTCTCATCTGACGACTGGTGCTTTTATTTTCCACATAGTCCCAATCACCCGCCGTCGTCTGGCCACTGTGTTATATTGCCATTTGCACTGTTGTGTGAAATAAGTTTAATGACTCCATCTATAAAGCGAAAAAAGTTGTACCGGAACTGTTTACCACGCTACGGATTTATGAAGTTGAGGGCTACGTCATACTTATCCGAAAGTACACATTAAATTTCCAACCGAGGTCCGGACTCACTTGCTGTCCGCTTCGAATTGGATTTTATGTGGAAGTCAGCCAATTAACGTTCTCTTTTTCTTCCGTTTCCGACAATGACAGCAAATCTTTCTTCGTTTCTCCGAACCATTACTCCATCGGGAATCGTCAGTTTGTCTGTCAGCGCTTGCTTCATGCCGCCAGTCAATAGCAGACGCTCTTGTGACGGTGAAAGATCTGGAACGTTACGACGGTGAAGAGGCAGACAAAGCGAGCCCGGAGTTCGCATCAGCGTTCCAATGTAAGTCCAAAACAGATCTAGCTTTAGTGTTTGGAAGTTCTCACTTGTCTGTAAGCCAGAATGTCATTTATCTTTATAAGCTTTGTCATATCCATATCATAGGACAATTGGGAGTCAGTGCGGATGTATTCCGACACAAAACGCATTGTGCTGCCTCTGCGTGGAGCTAGTATTGAGGTACAGTTGTTGGACGACTGTGACATCGTTGGTTACTAGAGCTAATAGCACTTGGTGTTTGAGGGGATAATTCATACGGAACTTTGTAAAGAAACGAATTCCCACATCTTTCGCCTAGTCATCCATGCATTTAACAGGTTGCAGTTTTGAAACAAAGGACTGAAGCTCACTGCATGGAATTCAACCTTTTTGGAATACCTCAGATACAAACGAAGACGATTAAAGTTGATCGCCAGGCGATTGTTATCACCCGTGATAGTACCGACACTATGTCTCCTTCTTACTTTCCGAATTTATGAAAATACCTGGAACTGTTGCAGTTCGATCCTAATTCCCTCTTAGCTAACTGCTGAGGTCGTACAGAGTGAACAGTTGACAAGGCGCCTACCCATCGAACAAAGCACCACTTCTTCACTGATAGAATAATGTTAATTGCTGTGAAGATTCAGTGCAGTCTTCTTCGCAGTGCACGACCCTAATGATAGTTCCATCACGGAAAAGTTTAAACTAATTCATGTACTTGAGCCTATACTGCCACACAAACCGCCACCAGATGTTCACCTTGAGTATACTACAGGACTCGATTTCATATAGGTACCGTTTTCACGAAAAGCTTTCATTACCTATTGGTGTATGTTGCATCTATAGCTTTCGGGACGTGTCTCGAACCCTGAGAAGCATGGTGATCATTGATCTAACTTCAGGCCATCGTCCTAAGGATCCATATGAGATGCGACTGTGTAGCCGGAGTGGTGGGTGTTGCAGTACCAAATGTCTGCATTTTCTCCATAAGCACAACGGTCTTGTGGTTTTTCTCTATCAAACTGTCAGTTACTCATGTCAACTAAAAGCCAACAAGTTTGTACAACGATCAAGTTGTAGTTAAGAGGGAGAAGTTCACCTTACAAGGCTATTTTGAAACTATCGTTCCACTGAACAGACCGAATCTAAAAATATGTATGGAAGACTGGACTGTAAGATTTAAAAAGGCTCAAGCTGAATCATTTGTGTTTCTTGTTCTCTGTCGTTTTCACCTGCCTCCAAACTACTCAAATCCATCAGTCATTGGATCAAACTCAATAGTCACAATTCCCTCCACTTACGTGCTAATGTATGCCAATAAGTTTGGTGTGATTCCCTGTCAACCGCTTGTGCTGGCTACGATGTAGCTGTGTAAGTTTGCCCCCGTACGCTATTAACTATACGCACAGCTGTTCACAGTGCACACACCAACAAGCACCCATCGTTCACAGTACGTGTCACCTGCGTCACCTGACTCGTGATAGTCATTCACAATAGTAGGACATTACTATTCAACGCGGTGCATTCAATACTTTTTGGTCACTGTTTACCATACTAACCACAGAGAGCATCGAAGCGTAATAAAGCCACCGAGGGTCCATCTGTGATTAGCTGCCGAAACATGCAATCCATTGATGCTACCCTGCAGGAGCAGCCAAATAGTTCTGGACCACATTGGACTTCCTTGTGGACTCAAAGTCCCCTGCGTTGATTGGTCAGTTAGAGCAGAAACTGACGGTAGAGAACCTAGGCTTAAACTGTTCATTAACACAAACCCGGATATGGTGAAACTCCAATGCCATCAGTCGATGGTATTGCAAAGAAGCGTAGAAGAAATCCGGGTGTTTTCAGGACCATAAATGGGTCATAGAACGAATCAAACCACTCGTTGGAAGTCCTACGGTTGATTGCGTAGCCAAAGCATTCAGTGTTGTCGTTACAGTATATTCTTGTCTCCGACTCGTAACTCCTCCACGGAACGATCGTAATATAGTTTGCCGCAAATTTCTTTGACTCCTTTCCGTCTCGTTACTATTTCTGCTTCTGGTAGTAATATCCATTTTAGTAGTAGCATGGCTACCCGTGTTTCGGCAAGTGGATCTCAGTTGATCTGGCCACAGCTAACCAACTGAACTGAGCTCTTATGCTTAAATGACAGATTTCAATATCGTTCACCCAGTTTGCGCATTATCGCAAGGCAAAACCTTAATGAATACGCCAAGTTCTCGCAGTGCGAAAAACCGTCAGACTGCACGAATTGGAGTTGAGCAAACCAAGATTTAATACACCGTCTCGACAGATTATGAAATACAACGTCAGAGTGTAATACAGGCTGTACCTGTGTACGCCAGATTCAAGAAGAACAAGCAGTTTCCTCGAGATCGGGACCGCATGAATCACGTCTTCACTTTACGTCAATTGTTGGAGCACCATCACATATATTGTCAGCCCATCGTTGCCTTGTTCCTCAACATCTAAGGTGCCTTCCATTTGGCGTAGTGATGCACCTTTTGAGAATGTCTGCTAAGGAAAGGTGTGCCCGAGAAGAATGAAAATATTATGCGAGGGCTTTACATGTATCTCGGACAGAGTGAGGGATTAGGTCAAGCTGTCGCCATCCTTCAATATCTCTAGCGGTGTGAGATAAGGATGTCCGTCGACACCATTCTTCTGCAACTTGTTTGATGAGGGAGTCATGGAGTTCGCTTTCACAGGACACGATTTAGAAGATGTGAACCTACTCCCAGACAAACGACTTCATGACTTGGAGTACGCTGACGAGATTGCCATCAGCTGTGCTAGCTCACAAACGTGCCAAGCATTACTGGAGAGATTAGCACTGGATCTCAGCCTTTTCGGGCTATGCCTTGCACCCTCGAAGTGCAAATCATTCCTCCAAAATTGACAGGGACGGCTTCCTGCGCTGACTAGGTGGGGATCAGCTATAATTCGTGCAAAAAGTCATCTATCTGGGCAGTTGTATCAGCTCTTGTGGAATCGAAGACGAAATCACAAACCGTACAGCAAAAGCACGAGGCGCTTTTGCTAATCTTTATTACCTGTGGCTCCGGCGCGACATCACTCTCTACCTGAAGAATAGAGTTTACAGAGCAGCCATAGGTTCGGCCCTACTGTACGGTTGTGAAATCTGGCTGAGTAGATCAGGCGACATTAACAGGCTAGTTATCTTCGACCACCGGTGCCTTCGTAGTTTGGCTAGTACCTGATGGGAAAACCGTGCGCGAAATGCGCGTGTTCGACGCCTTGCCTATGGCACAGGAAGAGGGAGTGAACCACTCAGCACCCTTATATCACGCACCAGCCTCCGATGGCTTGACCACCTGTTAGGTGTGCCTGCACAGTGACTCACACTAGGATCCAACCCAAGTGACCTTTGTGAGGTGAGTTTCTTTGTACCTCCGCCTCCAACTACGATCTTATTTCTGACGCATAATACAGCTTTATGAGGCGTGATAGCCGCCTGCCAGCTCTCCGGAATGATGTTCCTCGGTTACTGAAGGCTCAGCTAGCGTGCCTGTATTGCATCTTTTCTTCCTTTCTCAGTTATTGCTGCGAAATGGCTGACGTGCGCCCACGTCTAACTAATGTTTATAATGATGATGATGTGATACAGGATCTTCCCATTACGAAGCAATAAGCGGGACGGTGCAAGAAATACCACATGGCAACCGCTTGAGATTTCTGTTCTCTGTTCCGGCATCTGCCACGGCAAGCACACGTTTCATGATAAGGAAATGCTTGTTCCAAGGGAGGAAACCAAGAATAGAGCTGTGGCAAGTAAGACTTAGAAAAATTTGTCCTGAAATCCAACAGGTGCTCTAGGAGCAAGGAGACTGGAGTTTGGACTAGATATTGCTAAGGATTAGCGCTTTTTCCGCCATCCGCGACTTCTTTTAACTCACACGACCTTGTTATCGGAGCAAACTTACTACTGCAGCAAGCCGAGTTGGCTGAGTCCAGCTCATTCAATGCGCCTTGCAACACAGGTTTGCATACAAATGCAAGGTTAAACTTTGATTTGCACAGCTTGGTGGGGCGGCTTCCTCGCTGGACAAAATGTACACCAGTGACTCGACATTGAGCGACTCATTCAAAAAACACAAGAGCGGAACGGTGGTGAACTAGTGCCAAATAATTTCCGTAGCTGAGGATAGCGAGGCAGAAAAGTCACGCCTATCGATTGGTACATGCATGAAAAATTTCGGTTACGCTTTCATAATGGCCCAGTGAATTCAGGTCAGATCACTTAACCTAATGGGATCTGCATTTCACGTCGCTTTTGAATGCGGATGCCTCAGGGTCGAAAATAAGTTGGTTTGGTTATTGGTGCATTCGGATGGAGTAGTATCGGTGGTATTCTAACCAAGCATATTCTGTCTAAGTTTAAATGGTAGTCTCTCAGGGAGGCACTATGGATTAGTTTCGATACATGTTGGGGTGGGCGGTTTGGGTTCTTAAGGATGTGCTTCAAACATGTAGGGTCACTCCGCACTAGCTAATTCTGCTCATTTCACACTCCTGTGACCTTCTGTCTAAGTTGGCAATGGAGATGGGACATGCCCCTGGTAATTTCGTTCACCCTGCTTGTTATGTGTCAACAGCAGATCATACAAATAGCAACGCAGCCATGCCTGGATGCTGTGTTCCACAGGGTTCGTAAATAAGCACCAAGCCTTCCCTTGTAAGATAGCGGGGTCCGGCACCAACCACAACAGCGGTAAATGTGGACTGGCTCTTCTTGATGCTTATTCTTGGGCTACAAAGGTCTGGCAAAGTGACCACCCAGAGGTGGATTTCAATGGAACAGCAATGTGAGGGAAGCTGCGTGAGCCGGTACTCGTCAGTGTACCGATGATGCACCCTCAGCAGTCGGCACTTGAATAAGTTAACGTGGTACAAGTCAAACCTGTCTTGCGGGGCTGCATGATCACGTGTCGTCTTCACATTCCATAAATATATGGGGGTTGGCTGCATCCGGTTTCGGATTTGCCTGTCACTGT